ATTATATCCCTAATTTGTTTTTCCAGAAATTTCTTATCAGTCTTATTAGGTCTATTTCTCTGTTTGTGCAATAAGTGCACATTTTTATAGATTGCAGTAATATCGGAGTTAATGGCGCATAATGCTAATTTGCGCGACCAGAATCGCCGTGTACAGGGCGATCCGGAATCACAGGGTGATCCTTCGACACCGTTAAGACCTTCTCGCAATTCATTGAAAAACAGACAATATTCACATTACGAAATCACATAGAACTTCACCTATTGAAAAAGTAGAATTCCAACTCACATAGGGTTTTACCTATTGGGAACTCTAGATCATGAGTTGAAGTAACGCCCTATGTGATCTGTCCCTCTCTTCAGGTTACCAACTCACATACGGGTGTTTACATGTTAGCGTTTTGGGAAAAAGTAGAATTCCAACTCACATAGGGTTTTCAGTACTTCGATTTCTAAATCAAGTACAAGTACTGAAAGGCCTATGTGATTTAGTTCTCTCTTTAGGTTACGAACTCACATAGGGGTTTACATGTTAGCATTTTGTGAAAAAGTAGAATTCCAACTCACATAGGGTTTTCAGTACTTCGATTTCTAAATCAAGTACAAGTACTGAAAGGCCTATGTGATTTAGTTCTCTCTTTAGGTTACGAACTCACATAGGGGTTTACATGTTAGCATTTTGTGAAAAAGTAGAATTCCAACTCACATAGGGTTTTACCTATTGGGAACTCTAGATCATGATCTAGAAGTCCCAATAGGTAAAGCCCTATGTGAGCTGTGGCTCTCTTTGTCTTACTACTGTCGTCGAGTCGTTTTCGATGGTTTAAGTGCGAATATGAACCAACAAGAACACAGGACGATATTAGTCTGGAATGGACTCGATATTAGTATTTGTTTGCTCCCAGGATTTTTGCTGTTCGAGCAAGTATGAGAAAATCTACTAGGTGAGTCGATTTTCAACTTTGTGTATGTTGTGTACCTATTTATTGTCTGCTAATTTTGTATCTACCCGCTGGGGCCTTATTTTCGAATTGAAGGAAGGGGGGCGTTCTATCATTCCCCTCATGTTTCTCTCCGTCTCTCGTGATCCATGGAGATAATCACCCCACAGTTCTCTCAGTGAACTTTAGAAAATAAGTCTCCTGTACATACTACATTCACCTCTATCAGTTTCCATAACCTATTCCAATTCATATTCATTCTGTGACAAATTTTCATCAGGATATTCGTCTCTGAAACAATCTGGCATCACTGTCTTGTTTTGACGTTAGTGAATGACGAATTGGAGATTCCCTGGGATTCCGCAGATTTCACTTGCTTCCCAGTGGCGTACTCGAATTTCGAAGCATTTCATGTTCAATTTTCAAATGAAATTTCTCGTTAATGTGAAGACTTAGGAAAAATCAAATATTTTAGTAATTTTTGTTAGACTCTCTCATATATATGTCTTGAATATATGCACTCATTTTGAAATCAGCCTGTAGATTCTGTGGTCCTGGAACAAAATTGGAAAAAAGACTCGCTCGAGGAGATAAGGGTATAAACGGATCAGATGAAGCTTGCAAGGAACATGGAGCATATTCCAAAGAAAAAAATCTAAAACATCGTCATAAAGCAGATAGAATTCTGGAATACAAGGCATTGGCTCAATTCCAATTGAAAAATAATTCCTATGGACAGAAATTAGCAGCTTTAGGTGTTGTTGGTGCTATGATAGCTGAAGTCAAATTGAGAATGGGGATAGGGAATCGAAAACCAGATCAAGAACAAAAACAACAAGGAAACAACAAATGTCTAGTTGTTTTAAGAAGAACGAAGGTTATTTCAGAGGAATCTCTAGGAAGTCTAGGAAATATTGAAAGCAGTATGCGAATCCTAGAGGAAGGAATTCCAACAAATAGAATTGTTGAACAAACTGAACGGATAGGACAACAGAAAAAGATGAATAGAAAGAAGAAATCACAGAATGATGATAATGAAGAGCGTTGTGAGAAGGAGGACTTGATGGATATCGATATTGCTGACGATTATCCCATGAATAAAAGATGTGCAAACAAGAGAAAATTGGATAACAAAGATATGCCAGGCACTCAATCAGGTGATATGAGTGAACCGTTAAATATTGCAACAACAACAACAACAAATTCTAGAAAGAGAAGTTTGGATACAGAGATAGAAGAAGAATAAGAAAGCAACGATCTCGGAAATAAAAAACTCGAATTCACCTAATTGTATGATTATTATCAATAAGAAAGAGTCAGTATACGAGAGGGTTTTTACAATTCAGATGGCTCGAAAGAGTTCCAAAGGAAATATCAAACGTAGGAATAATGAGAAGAGGATTATCAAGAAGAAACAAATAAAAAAAGGGGTATGTTTCGCTAAAGCAATTGGACAAATTGTATAGCACATCATCTCCCAAAAACCCAAAACTGTGGGCGATGCAGTCAAGGTAGCCTTAAGGTCAACAAAAAAACTCAACATCAAACCAACACGTATTGTAAAAATTCCATAGAGGGGTGGCTTGTCACCCCTGATTCCGATTTTCACGGGATTGAGTGCTCTCGGAGCAATCACAGGTGGCGCTGCAGGTGTAGCTAAGGCTGCCACTGATGCCAGATCAGCAAAAAATCAATTGGAAGAATCTCAACGGCATAATAAAACAATGGAAGCTATTGCAATGGAAAAAGGAATGTATTTGAGACCATATAAAACTGGTTCGGGACTTTTTTCAAGATAACCATCATAGTATTATCCTTATATCAACAAGATGAGAACGAATAAACGTCGGAAATCTCGTAAGAGGATACCACTCAATTTCCCACTATTCAATTTGGATATTCTGAAGTACGTTGAAGAACTCAACATTCCCCATTTCAGGAGTGTATTTATGAGGAATGATCTTCCCAAGAGAATCAGAAGGATAGAACGTGGCGTGATGAACTTGGATAACAAAGTTGGACCAGGAACGCATTGGACTGTCTACGAAAAAATAGGACCACAAATCGTCTATTTTGATAGCTATGGTAATTTGCAACCACCACTAGAAACTTTAGATTACTTCAATTCCAATGGACCTTGTCATATTTTATATAATCACACCGTATATCGAACTTTTAATTCTGTGAATTGCGGTCAGTTATGTTTGAAATTTCTATCTCGATAAGATATAAGCTTTATCTCATTCTTTCAATGGCCTTACCACAATCATGACGTGTTCATATACTTTTACCTTATCCGCGAGAGATTCTGTATTATCATTTTCAATGATAATAAAACTCATGTCTTAGGTCTGATTGACTTCGTGAACTTCAACACAATTCCCAATTTAAATGAGAAAAATAACAGATTCTATGTCGGCAAACACACATTGATTATTCCTTGAGGTTCCTATGAAATTGAAGACATTGAACGGAATATCATGACGCAATTGGATGAATTGCATCGAAAAGATGGAGAGAAAGAGGAGAAAAAGCTCACATTTCGAATACTATTGTGAAAGAGGAGGAGGAAACTGCCGAGATTCAGCTCAAATTGAATGCTAATCGTAATACTCTAAGGTATGAGATAACATGCAACAAACTCATACACTTTGATAAACCTGACTCGATAGCAACTCTGTTTGGTTTCAGCAAGAGGAAATTGGGAGCTAATAAAAAACATATATCAGATTCTCCAATCAATATTTCCAAGGTGAATTAAGTGTGTGTTGAATGTAATTTAACAACGATTCGAATTCGTATAATAATAATTCTTCCGTTCACACATTGCACATGTTTTATCCATCAGTGCCTAGTGGATTTCGATTAGAAAAGTGTCCAATGTCATTTATCTACCAATCAGTTCCGATAACATCGATTCTCAGAATAGTCGATCGAACTGGAACCTTAATTAATTTCCAAAAGGAAGTCATAACAGTCAGGTTGCATTTGAAAGAGCTCTAGTGAATATGATGTTTCGCTATAATATTCCAATGTCATCATCACTAATGGGTCAGGAAACGCGTTCTTCATCAATCAAAAGTATCAGTATGGAAGGTGACATCAAACAGTCAACACCTGAGAATCAGCAGTAACTCATTTCACTCGGTTTCAAATTATTATTATAAAAAAACAAAACGACGATTTTTTACGAATTTAGGTATAACCTGAAATTGGACATCAACTCTGGTCTTAGAAGAATCTTCATTCTCCTGAGGTGTTCCTGCAGAAGAAGAAGTGAAACACAACAAACATGAGTTTCAATATTTTGAATATTGGGGAACATGTGATGATGGACAATGCGATAACGAATTGCGAAATGCACTCTCATCCGCCATATGCCAATACAAGCCTGAATAACTCATTCGAGATACGAGTTCCGATTCAAACGCAGGATATTTACACATCACCATCACAAAGTTACATTCATCTAGAAGGTAGAATTACTGACAGTGAAGATAAAGTGAGTGCTACACTGAACTTTATCAACAATGTTATTGCTTTTCTATTTGATGAAATCCGATATGAAATTGGTGGGTCCGTTGTGGATCGAGTTCGTAATCCTGGAATCACATCAGCTATGAGGGGCTACATCTCTTATACAAATAATGAATGCAATAGATATATAAATGATGGTTGGAATCATCTCAGTCATCCGGAAGTTGTTGATCTTCAGGAGAACTTCAGCGTTTGTCTATCACTCAAACATCTATTGGGATTTTGTGAGGATTTCAAGAAAATTCTGGTAAATATTCGGCGAGAACTTGTTCTCATCAGGAGTAGCAATGATATCAATCCTACGATATCCTCCAAGGCAGGAGAAGAACTAAAAATTGAATTAACCAAAAATCTATGGAAAATTCCCCATATCCAGGTTTCAGATGGGAAAAAATTACGGTTAATCAAGTATATTGAAAAGGGAAGAGATTTGGAGATAGCCTTCTGGTCATGGGATTATCATGAATTTCCTCTTTAACAGTCAACTATGCGCCACTCCTGGAACGTCAAAGCATCCAGCCAAATGGAAAAGCCAAGATTTGTTATTGTCGGTTTCCAAACGAACAGAAAAAATTACATTCAAAAAAATGTGAGTCAATTCGATCACTGTAAGCTCACCAATATGAAACTTCACCTGAACTCTGAAGTGTACCCCTATGACAATTTGAATCTCAATTTCAATAAATATCAGTTTTCTGTTATATGTGGAATGTATGCACGATTTCAAGAGTCATATTACTATGAAAATTCTGGTGAACCGTGTCTAACATTATCAAAATTCCATGATATAGCACCATTGATTGTGATAGATTGTAGTAGACAAAACGAATCTTTGAAGACAGGTAGTATGGACATTCGCCTCGAATTTGAAACGAATCAAAACATTCCTGCAAACACCTCTGCCTACTGTAAAATATTACATGACCGTTCAGTAAGGTATAACCCCCTCACTAATGTGATGAAAATATTGTAGTATCATATCTTCCTAATTCATGATCAATTAATGAATTGTACACCTATATTCCACTGTTTCGATTTCATTCAATGAACCCAAACTGATCATAGCTATCCTGATAGCATATACCCATCAATAAAACACAAGAAATGAAACATATTACGAGTTACTCACCAATACTTTCCTGGATCTGAAAGTCCAGCAAAATTTCTCCAAAATGGTCCTTAATGGAGTAGATATATATTAGGAATCCTGTTACAGCTTAAATTGATATTAATTAACGTTAATTGATGACCGGTCAAACTGAGAGCAGGTGCATAATCATCAGACATATCAATATACCTATTATAAGAATGAATGTGCATACAGGGTAATTAAAAAATGTATTCAATTGGTCGAATAGAGAAACATCTCAAAAGGGAGATTATGGAATTCGACAATAAATGCAGATGCTGTATAAAATGGTTCATTAAGCCAATTTAATAATTTCTTATCAGCCAGCATATGTGGCGCCAAGTATATGAAAGCAAGACGATTTTAATTACTTGGTTCATCAAGAGTGAATTCTTTATATTACATCTTGCATTATGCGAATTGATTTCAATTGAGACTAATATATCTTGTTAGTAGGTACTTTAGAAAATTATTGAAGAAAATTATCTTGTTTTAGGATTATTAATATGAATTTATACGAATTAAACTACAAGAGTGTCATGCAGTTTTGCTATAAGGGTACTTGATTGATAATTAGCGATAAACACGTATAAATACCTCCTTCCACGACTACTCATAGTTATTCTTATTCAATAGACAGTGCCAAAGAGATGAACATGAAAACTAAAGTCTTGACTATACCAATTGCGAAAAAATCGATAAAAATTTTGCAACATTTGAAACGTGACGGAAAGTCTGATAATTTTCGCATAAATAGTGAACCATCCGACATGGATGATAGTGTTCAATATATTTTTACCACAATAGTCAATAATCGTGAGGAGGCATTTAAGCCATTGGCTAAATCTACTCCAAGACCTAGCCCAATGCACGGAAAAATTCTCAGGCAGTCACAGTTCGAGGACATATCAGGAAATGTTCCGTCCGAAGAAGTGGAGGAAATTGAAGACTATGGAGCCAGTGAAGAGGATGAAAATTCACTTTCCCAAGAAGATGTCGTGGATGATTTCAATACTACAAATTACGAAGATATTGCACTAAATGAAGCGAAGTCTACGAACGAGTTTGCAAGAGAGCGAAGAGAGTTCATGGACAAAAACAACTCATTTTTGGAAAATAAAATTGAGAAGAAAATGGAACTCGAAAGAAAAATGCGAAAGTATGAGAAGAAAATGAAGAAATGTCGTAAGGTCATAAATATCATTGAAAAAGACATCATTGTTTCCACCAGAATGAAGGAAGCAATGAAAAATTATTGATCTGGAACCAGTATAGTGTCAATATTGTTCAGTTTATAAATGACTTTTCACAGCAGTTTGTCTGCATGGTGCAACATTATTATTACATCACCATGTTGAAGAACAAACAGTTCTGCACGAGCTGCTATTTCAACATTGTTGCAGATTACGACAGGAATATTGACAGTTTTCAGGAGTCCTTACACATCACAAAATATCTAGGAGGCTTTATATGTGGAAGTGTAGTACTATTTGAAGGAATTTTTTGAATTTTAAACGTTATTGTATAGTGATCATTTCATATTTTATGCTTTCTGCTCGAGAAGGTATATTCCAGTGTCAATAACGAGTATTCTGATTGATATTGTATTTTTTCTCACTGTCAAGACTTTAGTTTTTATGTTGATACTCTTTGGCACTGTCTATTGAATATATGAATCAAATAAAAAATAATATTTCGAACATGTTTGTTTTGCTTCAAATATACGAGAATTTGAAAGGTTGGAGTACATGATAATAATTATTCAGAACTGCTTATTGAATAAGAATTCATTTCATTGATATGACATGAAAAAATTGTTCGAACAAATATAGGAGAATTTGGAATCAGAAATACTGAAACCCATATAATTCAGATCATCTCAAAAAGTTTTATCCTCGGAAGGTATTATCCTATCAACCTATTACTCACTTCTCAAATCATTACCAAATATGTCATATATTATTCGATCAATTTGTATGCTCATGAAAATAATTTACATTTCTGCCCAACATGAACAGTATCCATTGACTATCACATACACTTCAAGAAAAAACTGAACGAAACACAGAGCAAAACACTTTATCTTTAGTAAACTCCAGAAATATTTCAAAAAACTTTATCTTATCTCTTGGCCGACCCAGCGCGTCGATGTAATAATTATACTGGCTCAAATATTCTTGACCCAGACATGCGTAACATATGCGGGCAGATGTCTCACATGAAAACGTTATGAAAACGGTCAATTCATGGTCTCTGTGAAACAAGAACAAAGTATTGATTTTTGTTGGCTGTTGGAGTATTTCCATAACAGATGGCATTAGCTGTGACATTTCGCCAAATATTCACTCGATCTATGAAAGATATGTAGAAGTCTTTTCAATGGAATCATGATAGGGGCAGGTCCGTATCGGGCAAGAAGTAGGGCGCTGAAAAAATTATTCAAGGTATTTAGAAGACAAAATGCCTCAAAAAATATAATGGAGAATTGATATTTATTCGAATTAAGATTAATCCATATAAATTATTGGTTATTATTATAGAGTATATACAGAAAATGTTGTGAAAACAGTTTTGAACATAATAAAAGACACTACACCAAAAGTATTCCAGTTATTGCATTATAGACAAAACCTTGTCGAGCAAAACGTGAATAGAGCATCTCTACAAACATAACAAAACTTCATTTCGTCCACTAAGCCTGCTGGATATTTCGTGATGTGTGAGGACTCCTGGAAACTGTCGATATTCCTGTCGTAATTTGCAACAATGTTGAAATAGCAGCTCGTGCAGAACTTTTTGTTCTCCAACATGGTAATGTAATAATAATGTTGCACCATGCAGACAAACTGCTGTGAAAAGTCATTTATGAAGTGAACACTGTTGACACTATACTGGTTTTTGATCACTTGTTCTCCGTCTAATTCGATTTCATCGGAGTCGGAAAATGTTTCGTCCACATCCATTGTGAATAAGGAAAGGACATATCTGATGTATGAACGGAGGCGAATTTATATCCGTACTATATACAAAACTATGGAAGTAGGGATTGTATGTATGTATAATTGAATGATTCAGTCAATTGATTTTAATTGACTTTCATCCATAACTATATGTACCGAGTAATTGAGAACAGGTGCAGTCATTAAATATCAATTATCAACAATAAATATCAATGAACTAATATTCTCCAATTGAAAACATGTGCAGAATGAGTCATCCATGAGTTATTCTTGATTAATAGTGATCAAAGTTAATTCATTGCTCCTTCAGACTAATTGATATTAGTTAACGTAATGATTCATCTTGTGTATGAATTAATGGATTCATCAGACTAATAATTTTCAATTGTGTGATAAATATGTGATTAATCATTTTTGATTAACCAGAAATTAGGAACCCCCACTTCACAAATTCAAAGGTATATAACTTATCACAATGAGATCCTTCACTCAGTTTTCGAATTCTAGTTGTTAAACACATATTATTCTGAAATGGACTTGTCGAAATCAACTGTGAATTCGAGTGGGCAGAGCTACTATACATCAAGTGTTCCTACCGGTGACTCGGGAGTTGAATATAATCTGAAAGAACATCATGAGAATAAACATTAATCAATATTGTTGGGATAGAAGAGATTGCCTTTGAATAAATCGAGAAGCAAGTACGTTTCCATAGGATTATCCTATGAATTTGGCTTCAGGCCCTGCATCCAGATATCAGGACTCAAGAATGATGCAATCACCTTCAATGATCGTGAGTGGATGGATTTTCTCAAATATCAAGAAATCATTACAAATAGTTTCTATTCTAGTGACCATCCGAACTCGTCAGATGGTGAATCCTTCCAGATATACTTTATGAAAATTTCGGAAACGAGTGTTGTTAAGATTCAGTAAAATAACTATTATGTTTTCTTGGGTTATGAATCCATTCGCAAGTTGTGGACTCTATTGCCGCTCATCAAATATCAAATGGAAATGATGGGGAGACTGCAGTCTACGAATTACCTCACAGTTCTGCAGAGAGCTCTTCAAAATCAAGATGGAGATGTAGTGAACAATGCACTCAATCTTGTCAGGCCACAGGAGAACCCAAGTAGAGAAAATATCAGTTTAGTATTGGAATTCATCCACATATACCCTGACGTTTTTTCTGAAGACCTGAATGTACAATAGAAATAAGCATACGAATAATTGTACCCACTATGAATTACGTAATAGAAAAAAATGAAATCATCTGAATAATTGTTTTATTTCAAAAAATATAAATGTATTTCACAGAAGTTCCTTTTTATCAATCCATGAATTATGAGAATTATCTGAGCCTAGCCACTTGACACGAATTTTGTTTCCACGTCGCTGTAAAACTTTTTCAACCAAGTAGATGTTGGGATATTTCACTTCCTGAAGCTCTTCGCTGTAGAAACCCCCCCGAATTCCTTCTTGATTCTGATCTTCTAGCAGGTAAGTAGTTGGTTTTGACAATTTAACTTGTCGAATTCTGAAGACTTCATTTGACCAAGAAGGCTGATACGATTCTGAAAATGCTTCTCTGAACTTGCTTATTCTCACAAAGTCACCTACTCTGAATTTATTCTTTCTAGGATCAATTGTTTTCAAATGACTATATACAGTTTTCAGTAATTCATTTTCATTCCCAGCATTCACATCTTTAGGTTTCATTCCAATTGTGCTGTGTTTTGTGATATTCAACTACTTATAAGTACCCTGCAAACTGAATTTCTTCCACATTGAATTCTTCAAAGTGCGATTCACCCGCTCAACCACACTAGCTTTCAAATTTGAAAATGTGCTATAGTGATTTATGTTGAGAGATTCCATCAA